GTATCAGACTATCTGGTGTAGGTATGTTTATAGTAAAGATATTCAATAACTTCGTTTGTACCAGACTATCTGGTGTATGTATGTTTACAGTAAAGGATATTCAATCACTTCATTTGTATCAGACTATCTGGTGTAGGTATGTTTATAGTAAAGGATATTCAATCACTTCATTTATATCAGACTATCTGGTGTAGGTATGTTTATAGTAAGGATATTCAATCACTTCATTTGTACCAGACTATCCGGTGTAGGTATGTTTATAGTAAGAACATTAATTTAATTTAAAGAAATTTTTTAAAAGTATATAAATAGTCAATAAAACATCATGTTTTGTAACCACTCGTTGTCACTTAAGAATGATTGAATACTTAAAATTTTACAAAGTATTAACTTAAGCCTTCTAAGCCATTTGAAATTACGAGTCTATTCATAAGAATATAAAAAAGTGTAATTAGTGGTATTCGCTGTTTAGTTGGTCTATTCCATAAAATAACACTAGGTGCATTCAATTTCTTTCTCAAGCCTACAAAATCTTGCCCTTGAAGGTAAGGTAGTTAAAATATGTGTATAGGTTTTAAAGCTTGTTTCCTGGTTAAAAGCACCGCCTAAACTTCAGAATAAAAGTGTCTGAAATAGTAAAGATATATTTTAACATAAAATTAAAACAACGGAGTGCATAACGTTCAGATTTTTTTACAAATTTTATTATGTTTGTATATTATTAGCAAAGTTATGATTAATTTGCTAAGACATTTCCTGTATTCTACTGTTCATATTCTATTTGCTTTAAAGGCTAAGTTTAATCTTGTTAATAATAGAAAAACACACTCAATTACGTTTTCTACTCTTAACATAAAAAAAAAACTTTTGAAATTAATAGCGACAAAAGAGCATCACATCAAATAGATAGCTATTGTTTATTAATGTTCAACATTCTTCAAAACATGAAAAGTTTATTTGCTACATACCTTATCATTTCGAGGTGCTGTTAACGGACAACAGGAATAAGTGCCCAGATAACGCTTTTCTTTTAATAATAATAACAAAAACGAAATGGGAAGTACACTACCGAATAATATCTTACCCGAAATCCTTTGCGGTCTTCTTGCAAGATGTGGTGTTGACTGCCTTTCTGAAGTTGGCCGCATATTCCCATTTTCTCGATGTTCTGAGATTCGATTTCGGTAAAGCAGAGAGGGTGACGTCACACCATCGTAAAGATTATGTTTCAGTATCAACAACTGGCTATAAGGAGGTAAAAACATAAAATCAGTTTATGTAGAATCCAAATGTTTATTGGTACTAATAAAACAAATTATTCATCATGTAATAATGTGTTCATTCAGCGAAGAATACTGCCTGAAAAACAAAACAAATAACATTTTGTAGGAATGATAATGACATTGAGAATAGCGACCCCTAACATCACCATGCAAATTTACTATAATAGCATTGTAAACTACTCCGAGATATTTATTGATCAAAATAAACCGGAGCAACTTAAAAATAATGGTATCTTACAAAGGGGGTTGTGAAAGTGTCAACAAATATTTAATTAACGTAAAATTATGGGTTACGGGTTGGTATAATACGTAATTAACCATAAAGTTTTAACGACATGGGATAAGTTTCAATTTCTATACACCATGAAGGAAAAAAAAAGGTCAGAACAAATGTTCTTGTAGTGGCCGTATTTCGATTTATCATACATCACAGGGTAGGGGGATTGGTGACATACGTTGAATACTTGTTAAGAATACATCAAAATGCAATTTTGAATAACTAAACTATGTCTTCCCACAAACACTGCCTATGATCGCCATGTTTAAGATAGCCACTGAATGATTGTATTGAGTAGGACAGGATAAATAACTATCATCTCTCTGTGTAGGAAGGTACTTTATCTATGCCCTCGCCGTGTAGGAAGCACTTTAACCCGATGACTACCGGCTACTAACTTTCTTAGTAGGCAATGCAAGTCTTGCTATATTTCGTTCCAACAATAAAACAAGTCAAAGTATTTATGAATTTTCGAAAATATTCGTCCACAAAATGTAGGTAGTTTAAGAAACATAAAGCCTATAAATTTTAATAAATTTAGTTTTTTTGCATTATGGTCTTTAATATCTTGGAAAATTACATTAGGAAATTGTATTTATAAGAAATGATTACACTATTTATATTTGCTACAGATTTGAACTTATTACTTTTAATGTTTTAGTACATTATTTTGAAATCCCCAAAAAATTGTATTCTCCATAAAATTCAGATTTTATCTATCTTTAATTTTTTTGATAATCACGTATACTTCTTCTGGTTTCAAGTAATATACAGACCCGTAAATAATATTTGTAAATAAACCTAAATAATAAATGAGTATTTTTATTTTTAACTAGGATTTCATGTTTATATCTGTACATAAAAACATTTTAATTTTGTTTCATAAATATATTTTTATTTCAAATTTATGTTTATGTTTCATTGCAGTCGTACTTTTGTGTTTATTGTGCCGAATAAACCGTGGGGTCAGCAGCGTGAACTTTGTACGTTGTCCATTGTCCGTAAACTATCTCACCCTTTTTGGTGGTCACTCTCGTTCAACCGAGCACGAGTGCGTGCGCATTTGAACGTTATTGTAGATATGATAGTAAGAAAGCAAAAGCTTCTTTGAACTTTCATAGAAGTTTATTTCAACATATGTCCGTGTATGTTGTTTC